CTGTGTTGAAGGATCCGTGGATCTGTGTTCGACTACTCCACCTAGGCTGTATTGTGGAGCACAGATCCACTGAGAAACTTGCTGTTTCAGCAACGTTTAATTTAAAAACTGCACTTTTGAGGTTAAACAAATGTTCAGAATTCATTTCAATAAATTACAAGTTCAGAAGTGCATGGAAATTTCTCTGTATTGTATCAAAAATACATCGCACCGTGAGACTAAAGTATCGAACCAAACCGAATCATGTATTTTCTGTATCGTTGCACCCTTTCCCAGATTAATCTTCAGGGTGGTYAGTTGAACTTGAACACCTACTAAACGTCATCAAATTTATTTTACGTCTCAGAGTCTGTAGGACGTAAAATAAAAAACAATAAATAAAGTTAGAAATTAGAAATTAGTAGAAATTAGTTCCTCACGTTCTGCCTGCCCCCGCAGCCGACAGTCCACTTTAACCCCGCCCACCCCGCGTTTGAGTAATACGGCTCTTTTATGAAAATTACGAACTTTTGAGGGTAAAGATACAGCTAAAAGCCCAACGGGGTTGACGTGTTTACATCATTTACCCAGTATGCTTTGCAGCGTAAATAATATGACGCCATCCATGTGACAATATAAATATATATTTTAAGATAGTTTATAAACACCTAACAATTGAAGTTTATCAAATAGCATCTGATGTTACAACCAGTCGGTCTGAAACGTGAGTAAAAGAAGGTTCTGAACACTGGCGACAGGTAACACGGTCACAGCAAGGACATTCCAAAACACCTGAGATATCGCTGTGTTTAGTGTGGGGGGAATTAAAAACATTTAAAAAAGGAGCAGGGTGCTTCCTGATTGGTCACTTGGTCTGTGATTATCTGCATTTTATGCGCAGCTTCCCAGTGGTTTGTGAGCAGATCGACATGTTTTACAATAAAACTAAAGCCAGCAGGAACCGGTTTAAAGGAAGCCGTGTTAGATTTAGGAACTTTAAGCCCCGCCTACTGCTCACCCACAATCAATCTCATTTTTTCTCAGCATGTGCGTAACGAAATTACAAGTAAACGTTTGCGTGGAGGAGGCAGGACCTGCATTTTGACACACGTCGGTGGTTTCGCCTCGTGAGGCTGATGGGTGGAGCTTTAACTCAAACTCCTGTTTTCTCAGAGATCGTGGGTAAAAAAATACATTCATTATGTAAAAATATTTAAAAAGCTGTGTAACCCTGTGAGCCTTAGTGGTCCGTCTTTAAGACACTCAAATATCTAAACACTTTTTAGCTTGTTGAACGCAGAGCAGCTGATGAGCTGATTAAATAACGGGAGCACAACACCGTTTTTTTTTTAATTTCTTGTTTTTTTTCTTTTTTGATTCTCGCCAACAATAAGCAGAATAATCTGAGCTGTCGGCTCTAACTGTTGCACAAAAAGTAAATATATTCCTGCTGAGGCTGCTGTCCTGGTACAGAGAAGGCTAGGTTAGTGATGGGTGGAGGGGGCGCCCGAGGTCGCTGAAGTCCAAACCATCAAGTGTGACGTGTAAAACGTTAGCTGACCTCGAGGTGAAGCAGAGACGCTGGTACCATGATCCTCAGAGGCGCTGGTCGTTTCAGACCTCAGGCGCTCGCCGCTCCCTGCTGGCTAACGTTAGGATTATCGGAGTGCAAGTATTTTTATTTTTTGCTTTATTCATTTTTATTCTAAAACCAAACCACCTGAGAGCTGCGGCGCTTCGTTTGTAGACGGTTTGGTCCTGAATACCTGAGGACTAGCTGGTGAGGAGCACGTGTGCCGCGCCGTCCCTCCCCACGTCGGCCTCAGAGTTCGGGCTGTCCGTGCCACCGTTTGACGTCACGTCGCCGCTCGGGTCGGCGAAGGCCGGAAAGGAGGCGGGTACCGGCGTGACGGTGAGCTGGGGGCCCAGGCCGCCGCTGACTGAGGAGATGGGGGAGAAGAGGGAGGAGCAGAGGAGTTTGACGGGGCAGAAGGCGGAGCCTCGGGGGATGAAGTTCACCTTGTTTTTGTCGGGGCAGGAGAACAGAGGGAAGCCTTTCGAGGTGCCAGACCTGAAAGACGACAGAAGCTGAACTCAGAATGATTTCATTTTAACTTTGTTCTTATTTCAAACTTTTGGATGCACCTCTGCAACTGATTAACTTTTATTTTTCCCATCAGTTGACCGCAGCTATTATTTTTCTCAGTGACTCAGTCATTAAAATACATTTTATTAAATTAACAGCACATCTTCAGCTGTTTGAAACTCACACAAACTCCTCGAACACTTTGACCTTCTCGCATCCCTCTGGTGGTTCCCGTTTGAACATGTAGCTGTTGTTGGGTTTGGGAGAAGTGGCGAACTTGGGTAGAGGAGAGCTGCACACACTGTCTGGAGCCGGAGAGCAACATTAGAGTTACGACGGTGGAGGTGGAGGAAAAAAAAGGGAACGTTTTGCTTCAAGAGTTAAAAACAAACCTTTATCGATTTCATCTGTAGAACAGGGACTTCCATCTGGGGAGTGGAGGTGGTCGGTGCTGCAGGGGCGTGGAGACGGGCTTGATTCGCCGCTCGAAGGGGCCTGAGTGTCCGTGTCACGCGTGTCCCCGCTGTGGCGATGAGGGGGGAACGGAGCGCGGCGGCCATCCGCCACCTCCATGGCCTGTGAGGTCAAAACACAGGGGCGGTGGTGACGAGTCAACATCCAAAAACTGATAATTCATGTTTAAACACCTCTGATAACTCAAGATGTATGGAGCTAAATTGGGCCCATAAAGTTTGTTCAAAAATTTATTTTAGAAACTAAGAAAATTTTTGCAACTGAAAACAAATTTTTGAAACTGAAAAATTATTTAGAAACTAAAAAAAAATTTTTTGTAAATGTTTGGATTATATGATAAAACAGCCTGCCATACATTTTTAATTATGTGATACAATGACCTGCAACATTTTGGTAATTATATGATACAATGACCTACCATACTTTAAAAATTTTTTGAAATCGCAGCCTGTCGTTACTTATATGATACAAAGGCATGCCATACTTTGATAGTTATGATACAACAACCTGCAATATTTTTTATTATGTGATAGAATAGCCTGCTATACCCCGTTAATTGCATGGCACAATGGTCTGCCATACTTTGATAATTATATGATCAAAACATCTGGCACATTTAAAAATTATATGGCACAGCGACCTGCCAACTCTTGTCAATTATATGACACAATGGCATTCCATACCTTTTATTGTATGATACAACGGCCTGCCATACTTTTAAAAAATTGACATCACRGCCTGTCATAATTTGTTACTTACATGATACAAAGGCATATGCCATACCTTCTTAGTTATGATACAGCAACATGTAATATTTTTATATGATACAACAGCCTGCCATAACCTTGTATTAWATGACACAATAGTCTGACATACCTTACTAATTTTATGATACAAAMATCTGGCACATTTTAAAATTATATGGCACAGCGATCTGCCATCTATTGTCAATTATACGACACAACGGCATTCCACACATTTATTATATGATACAACAGCCTGCCATACCATGTTAACAATATGATACAGTGATAAGTAATCATCCATAAAGCGTTCTCTCTGACGTAATCTCATGTTATATACACGAGCTGAATATCTTGAATCTGAGAACATCCAGGACTGAAACGCCTCTGATGTGTTCGTCTAAAGGGCACGTAGAGAAACTAACACCACACCAGATGGTGGAACTCCAGAGATGATGTGAGAGGTGTTCTGCCTGGCTCAGATGACTCAAATGAGTCTGTGAACAACATGCTGTAAAGCTGTAGGTGTGTGGAGCGCCTCACAGCTCTGCCAAGGTTTACAACCTCATATCAGACCTGATTTATGGTCCTCGTTACCTCCAAGCACCTGAATTCTGGGTCAGAGAGAATAAATATGCCATTCTTTAACTGTATGTGTGAAAAGATTTTAAAATGTTATTTTTGTTTATATAATAAGACGTCACAATTTATTTTAATGTTTTTAATTAATTTTTGTTTTTGTGTCTTTTGTTGTTGAATTTGTTAAAACTGTTGCTAACATTTTATTTTAATTTTCTTCAAAACGTCCCGGTGATCGTTTAGAAATTTCCTTTCAGCACTGTACACTTTATTTTTCCAAYTCTTATTTAGTCACATTTAACCCTGATGTGTTGAAACAAAAGATTTTACCATRAATATTAGAAATCTAGTTTAGTAAATACCTTCTAGTGACTTGTGCTAAACAAACGTGCCGTGGGTGCGAGTGCACGTTTTGTACCTGCATGCCGTGCTCCCAGTCGTCTCTGATGAAGACGTTTTCCAGCTCACGGTTGATGGCTTCAACACTGCTTGGCACTCGACATATGAGGGATTTAGTCAGCGGGGTTGTCATCAGACTCGAAGTTCCCTTGTGCTGGAAAAACACGATTAAAAAAATGACTTTTAMTAACTAAATAGTGTGGTTCAGATAAATGGTTGTTAGCTAGTAATGTGGAATATTTTGTGGTTTTCACACTCATTCATTCAAATATACAGGATAAGACCTTACAAACTGATGCACGACTGTGGTATAATGTTACATGACAGACAGACTCTGTTTCAATTTGTTTTAAAAGTAGAGACTTTAACTATAAACCAGTTTTTAAATTGTGTTGAAAAGCCAAGTAAAACTGGAGTTATGATAAATTATTTAAACTTTTTTTTTCTGGAAATGATCGTCCTGTTTGATGTCCAGAGGCAGGTGGGAGGAAACATGGTAATCTCATGAAAAACAATTTTATAACACTCCTCAATYCACYGTCAGTCTCATCCCCCCTCGAGCCGAACAAACATAAAACCCCTGAACTTCTTTCTGACCGAGACTCAAAGTTATCTGACGCGCGCCAAAAAATCTACAGGAAGAATAAAATAAAAAGAYGCAAAAGTTGAATGAAGTTTGGCGGCGATGGAGAGACGAGTTATTACATTTGTGGTATTTAGCATGTTTGGATTTTATAGTTCGGGTGTAGTTTAGTGAACCTCAAACCAATATGTCAGCCTCAGTATATAACGCGTGGCAAAGCACCCAGAGAGTACGGTTGTACATAATGACGTTGCTAACAGTTCAAAATGGAAACAAATGGATCCCTAGGATCCGGCTCCCTCCAAACAGTCACATCCCACCTCTAGTCCAAACACGGGTTTGTTTTGTTCTTACAGCTGTGAAAAGACTCCATTCTGAGAGATCTGTTAATGAATGAAGAACCAGGACAGAGAGGGACATGTCCAAACATGTTCCTGTTTCTCTGCCTCCCCTTCATCATCACTGACCACAAAGAAAAGAACTGCAGAGCTTCCATTCATTAAGATCCCTTAGATCCAACATATCAACAAATTCTAATTAGAATCTAATAATAGAAACAGATAATTAGTTACATGAAGCAAGTTTGATTTGTTATTTAGAGCTGTTTACTGAGGCTCGCTTCTTTTCTTATCTTAGACGGTTGTTTTCGTTTGGTCACCCTCGGTTTAGTTTGTGTTTGACTTGCTAAGATACCTTATCGCATTTCTACGGCCTGTGTCACATTGCATCACCGCAGCGGCTGCTGGTTAATGTTTTCACCTGGGCGGACCATGCCGGGGCGTGTGGGGGGGGGCTCGGACACATGTGAGAAACTTACCTGTGGTTGGCAGGTAGCGGCGTGCTGTGCCGGCTGCGGCAGCTGCAGTGAGACCTGGTCCCGGTCTTTGGTCTGCCGGGTCACCTGTTTGCTGCGCTGCAGCTGCAGCCTCAGTTTGGCAATCTGCTGAAAGAAAGAATAAGAATATTAATCACAATGAAGCGATGTCACGGCAAACATTTGCTCGATAACCGTAAACCTGTGTTGGCTAACAGACTAGCTGTGGCAGCCATCTTGAAYTGAACTTCAAAGTTTAATCAGTTGTACACCCAACGTTTATTTTTGGCAACATGAATGAGTCACTGGTGTTTTTCGAGAATATTCTCTACTTCCTGATTCAAATAAAAAAAATGAACCCAGCTGTTGCAGCAACCCAGTTTGGTGCAACGAGCAGTGTTGCACGTGTGATGATGAAACGCGGTCGGTGGATGGGTGTTGCTACATCTGGCCTYGTAAACAGGATAGTCTTTGTAAAGACCAACAGACACGGTTGTGCTGTGCAGACAAAGGTGTGGTTCTTCAGTGCAGATCTTAAACTCCAGGCAACACAGTCAACAAAGAGACGGTCTCTTTCCATACATGTCCACCCACACACACACACACACACACTCTGTGGAGGTTTCAGAGCCGGGTGACGCTCGCTGCCTTCGCCTGGTGTGAGCAGGCGATAGCGACAAGTCCGGGCAACCCCAGAGTTCAGCTGGCTGATGGGAACGAGAGGTTTCCTGGCTGCTGTTGGTTCTACGGCCAAAAAGATGAACGTGTTCCCTGCAGGTCTGAGTCAGCTCAGACTATTGTTTGTTTCTGTTTATAGTTCCTCCTGTGGGAGTTCTGGACAGTACACATACATAAATACACTTTCACCTGCTTTAACCTTTCATTTTAAAACTTTCAGCTGCTTCAGGACACAACGGTCAGGAAATAATTTATTAATGCAGCTTTTAAACTTGTTCAGTTAACAAACTTTTACAGTTTTTCATACAAAAATGCAACACATATAAGTTTACCTTTTTTAGTTTTCAGGTAAAGATTTGAAACTTTTAGCTTTCAGCAGATGGACTGCTATTTTTAGCTGCTGTTTTACTAGTTTAAAGCTTTCAATTACTCTTTTGCCATTTCTATCTTTTAGCTGCTCTTCTGCTAATTCTCCACTAATTCCATATTTTAGCTGCTCTTCTGCTAATTCCATCTTTTAGCTGTTCTTCTGCTAATTCCATCTTTTAACTGCTCTTCTGCTAATTCCATCTTTTAGCTGTTCTTCTGCTAATTCCATCTTTTAGCTGCTCTTCTGCCAATTCCATCTTTTAGCTGTTCTTCTGCTAATTCCATCTTTTAGCTGTTCTTCTGCTAATTCCATCTTTAGCTGCTCTTCTGCTAATTCCATCTTTTAGCTATTGTTCCACTAATTTCATCTTTTAGCTGCTCTTCTGCTAATTCCATCTTTTAGCTATTGTTCCACTAATTCCATCTTTTAGCTGCTCTTCTGCTAATTCCATCTTTTAGCTACTGTTCTGTTAATTCCATCTTTAGCTGTTCTTCCGCTAATTCCATCTTTTAGCTACTGTTCCGCTAATTTCATCTTTTAGCTGTTCTTCTGTTAATTCCATCTTTTAGCTACTGTTCTGTTAATTCCATCTTTTAGCTACTGTTCTGCTAATTCCATCTTTTAGCTACTGTTCTGCTAATTCCATTTTTTAGCTACTGTTCTGACAATTTGGCTTTTTTTTATCTTTTGATCAGTCATTTATTTTCAGCTTCTTAAAACAAACTTCAGCTGTCCTTCAGCTCATTTTTTCTAATTATTTTCAGGTGATTTTTGTGATGAAGTTCCAACAACTAAAAGTTAAATCTGAGGGAGGAAAGTTTCCTGAAACTGTTGAAGCTGTTTTTAAACAAAGACATGAATACTGACCGTTAAACTTAACGGTAAACACAGGTATATCCCAACAAAAGCTTCAAAACTAAAATCTTATTCTTTGATATCACATCGTCTCTACATTCAACCTGTCCTGAACTTGTTACTGTTCCTGAGTTCAAAAAGGTCAGAGTTACTGTAAATTTATCCAGGCTGTAAAAAKTTTAAAAGCGAAACAAACATGTCTGCTCCTCGTTTAGAGAAGCCTTCAGAAACAACATCCCATAATAAGATGCACACGGTGAACAGAGAGGAGGAGGATAAATTTAGGCTGTGGTTTGGAGAGATGGAGTCCATGTGGTCGGCTGGTCGGCCTGCCAAACCCAGCAGATAGACAGGAGTGGAAACCAGATTTAAGGAGAGTAATATTTAGGCTGACCCAAGGCTCTTGACAAATAAAAACAAACTTTTAAGGACTTGAAAACTTTTTTAAAAATTACAGAATAGAGGTTAGTAGTACCTCTTTCAGGTGGTCCGCACTCCCCCACGAGGCGGAACGCTGGTGAGGACTCCCCAGATCTGATCCTTCGTCACTCCAAACACCCGGCGTCTGCAACACAAACACAAACAACCACACGTTACAAAAGCTTTAGCTGCTGTTCGGAGAGCAACATTTACAACAAAGTGGAGCCAGGTCATGTTTTCAGCTGCTCCAGGTGATTGACACCTCATAAAAAACATCTGCCTTCAAACTGTTTCTACTAAACCAATTAGAACCTGAATTTTAAACCGTTTAGCTGATTTAAAACATGGGAAGGAGTTAACCAGTGCCGCCAGTTCAGCAGTAAAGCTGTAAACCTGGAACCAATAAATATGAGTAGAAGAGCCACGGGATACCCTCCCTGAGGAAAGAGCTCCATTCAACAGGAAAAACAATCTTTTCTTCCGTTACTGAGCTGGTTTAGGACAAATCTATCTGCCACAAGGCAACAAACTCACTCAGCCGCCTGCAGACTGCAACAGAATGAAACCACACCCATCCTCCATGAGGACTTCTTATCAAATATGAGCTTCAATCTTTGCATTTCTTCCAAAAATCTACAAATTATTTAGTCTGCAAGCATCTTTAGGGTTTTATTTAAATGCACCGCACAGACTTTAATCTATCTGTACATCAGTAAACAGCTGATATACAAAATATTTCCTCCCTGAGAGCACAGGGGCAGTCCTGTCTCACAGAAGTTGTCTTTTAGGCGTCCACGGCAGAGACGAGGCAACGGTTAAGTTATGTAAATTAATGCAAAAACCAGAAACAGACTGAGGATGTTTCATGGGGTTGTTTGAAACTGCGTTCTTCCTCCCTCTGATTGTGCCCGTCTACGTGGCCTCTGGCGTCCAGAACATACGACGTTTTATGGCGAGCGCGTCGGCATGAAACCTCCTAAATGTCAGCGCCTTCGGCCTGCCCTGCGTTTGACTCGGCTCAAACAAAAACGTCTGTTCCCGTCGGGTCTTCTCTCTGAGATGTGGAATATTACGCTGTGAATAATGAGGAACACCCGCGGAGCTGTTTGAGCTGGGCTTCTGGCACCGGGACACACATTAAACGGTTTCTTGTGCTCTGCTGGAGAAAAAGGGACCACTGTGCTCGGCCACGCTGCTTGGCAGATGTGCAGCTCCTTTAGCGTTAGCACGCCGTTCATGACCTCTGGAGATACGTGTGCAGCTCCACGCCTCTGTCAAACATCGAGGGGTTTGATGCTGTTTCTACAGAATGCAGATGGATCTAAACGCTGAGCGGAGTTTAGTAGGAGAGATGCTAAAAGGAGATAAATATTTTATTAGGAATGGTTAATCTGCATTAGTGAAAAAAACATGTCTACAAATTGATCAAATCAACAAATAGTCACCTAAAGTTAGGTGGTATTARCTGAAAATGATCCAAGTGCTAAAAAATCTTTGTTTAAAAATTTATTTAAATTGGAATCAACTGTTTTCTGTCTGTTAGCAAAATAACTCATGAACCACTACATGGATTTTAATGAAACTTTCAAGAAATAATCAGTGGATTTACATCTACCACTCATTAACTTTTGATGTCAATCCGGTTCAAATTTGCCACCACAGCCAACTGAACGTTTACAACACAAAAATGGCTATAATTTAGCCACTTTTGCAGATATTGTGCTGAAATTAGATACAAAATTAGAGAGTCACTCACAGCASATATGGTTAGTGATATCATGCTATATTGCATGAGTTTGCATTTTATTATCTAACATCTCATCAGCCTCTGTTGAAAGTTACGACTTCAAGGTTTAACAGTAAATATGATGCCACTAATTGTTAGAATTTGTCCTGAAACTTTAGTGTCTTTATTGTTTGCGTTTAAACCTGTATTTAAATATCAGTTTGTCTATTTATACAGGAAGCTCATTCTCAGAAACCTTCTTCATGTGAACAAAATCAATAAATAAACCAYGCTGTAAGTTAATCCAGGGTTTGATGTTGTATGCAAAAGGTGCTAAGTTTTTTTTATGTTATCAAATTTCTAATCTAATCTTTTATTGACTTCCTTTCCATCTTCAAAACCMGTTAGGACAAACGCCCACCTTTATTTACCTCTCTGCCTTTTTATGGAGCTGTTTCTCCTTGAACCTCCAGCCTGAGTTGTGTGCTTTGTGAACTGACATGTGTGCCAGGTGTTGAGCCTGATAATGTTACGCTGCTCAGATAAAAAGCCCGTTTGCCTTCGGCTTGTTTCCTATTGTGAATCCCACCCAAAGGGGTGGGTTAAATGCAGGCAACATCCTCAAGAATCCAGCTCTGTTCCAAAGCAGGAAATAATGACTGGGCTTCAATAGGGCTGCGGTGGAATTTGGGCTGTTTTGTTTAGATTGCACGCTGGGACATGCGTGCAGAGCACCCCTGCTATCATTCGGTGGGYTGTGGAGACGAGGCGAGCGTGCAGCCTGACTCTGACGGTGACTTTGGTGCATCTGTTATCCTGAAAAACATCTATCGTGTGCGTGTTATTCTACAAGACACTTTAGTCCTGACACCCACTCATAACTTGGCTGCCTTTAATGATAAAGAGAACACTATCTTTACCAGAAGCCGTTAGCCCAGAAATATATAGGTTTATTTTATTATATGTTTTATTATGTGTAAGGTTTATGCTTCTAAAGTGATCTGGTCCTAAATTAAACAAAGTTAGAATGTATGTAGGATAACTGTGTAAAATATTGAGAACAAGAGCTGCATGATGTATCGTCTGAGCATCGTCTAAAACAGTGGTTCCCAAACRTTTTGTCTTCTGACCCACAAAATATCCATGGCAAAAACTTGTGACCCCAAATATTACTGGTCTGAGTACATGAACTTCGTTAATAATCCTAAAAACACAGGCTTTTTGACAATCTAAATAGCTTATACACAAATATAAATACTTATTTATACTTATTTTGTGTTTTTGTAATAGTTATAGGGAAAATATTACATCAGCAATTATTTTATTACCCTTTAAATTGATTTCTGGAGATTATCCAAGGTGCTTCATGACCCATAATTGGGTCCCAAGCCCATCTTTGGGAACCAAAGTGCAGTGGTTCTCAAACTTTTCAGCTTTTGACCCACAAAATTGTACAAAACTGTAGCAGAGACCTGTGCCCCCAGCTATTTTTGGGTGATAAACATTTGCATCAGGTCAACTAAACATGGGCATAGTGACAATATTTTTTATACTACATTTATCCATTTTAAATAYACTAACCTCACTCCTTTGTGACAACTAAGGCAAAAATGTAATTAATTCAGAAAATCTTTTCAGGACCCCATCTTAATGTTTCGAGACCCCACTATGGGTCCCGACCCCAACTTTGGGAAACACTGGTCTAAAACACAGGTCATTGCACCAAAAGGCTTTTATTTTGATGGGTTGCAGTTGTGAAACATCTGGGACAGTAACGGCAACATTTTTTCTGAGATGTACCGATGAATCCTCGAGACATGGAGGAAGACGAGGAAGATGAGCTAAATTAGAGAACTGGGGGGGAAACAGCTAAAATACGGTTAGCATGAATGCTAATATTTAGAAAACAGAAAGTAATGCTGCGTTCAGTTTACATCGTATTCCAGGAACTCGTAACTGGTAGTGACGTCATTTCCCAACAAACCATAAGAAACTGCATTCCAGTTAGCCGGCAGGTGATTGTACTGTTGCCGCTAACCTAGCTACAACACTGCTACAATATGAACAATGACAAAAACAGAGCTCTACTGCGTACGTCACGCAAATAAACATTGATTTTAACACGTATAGTAATGCACAGAAAACACACTACTTGTGCGAGTRATTAAACATGCACAAAAAAATTAAGCAAGATAATTAATACTAAACGTTATGGAGTTAACTTTCTAAAGCTGCGAGTAGCCACCATCTTTAAATCGAAACTGGGGGCAGTTTCATTTCTTCCACTTTACGAGTGGAATATTACCACTGGAGGGGGCGTTCCAGGTTATATCTACCAATGGGAACTGGGAAATTACCACTTCCCAGGACTACTGGAACGCAGCATAGTGCAGAGGCAACACGTTATGAGGTAAAACGCAACATGACAAAAGGAAACRTATTCAGGTCCCAGCACAATAAATAATTTTACTGGGATTATTCAGATTAAATTGAGGAGTGGACGTCCCAGCATGCTCAGCAACAACACAACGAGCTAAAGTGTTAAAGTTTATGACAGCTTATTAAGTAAAAGCTTAATGAGAACAGGAAGGCTCGTCAGAGACAGAAAAGGCTTCTTGTATCTAAAAATATAAAACAAAAATTAATAAACAAGTTTTCAGGTTTAATCTGAACCTACAAATCTAGAACGATGACTTTGGAGCCGAGGAAACCACCATCAACATATCAGACTATAACCACAGCTGCACATTTGGAGAAAAAACAAAGAATATCACACCAACCGACAGCATGGTGGTAGAGCGTCGAGGCTTTGAGACGGTTTTACAGTTAAAGCTTCGGAGCATGAAAAACGTTTTAGAGCTAAATGTGAAACCGTCTGCACGACAGGTGAATCATAAAAACAGCCGTCACGTAACGGTGGTTCAACGGAAACTTTAAAAATGAGACCATTTGATCAGCCTGGCCTTTGTGTGTGCGCTCGTGCTTTAAAGTCGGTGTGTCGGGGTCTTAATCTTCATGCAGATTTGCTCTGTGTTCTGTAACCACGGGGCCTAGGGCCCGCGGACCCATCCTGGAACAGTGATTAGCATATGTATGGACCCTCTGCTTCTCATCTCCCACACAAAAGGCAGGCAGCCATGAGGGCCAGGTGGTAAGCAGTGGGATTTCTCCTCGCCTCGCCTCGCCTCGGGGACAGGTGCAAACAACTTCACCTCCGTGTGGAGTTGTGTTACAGCTCAAAGGAGAGGCCGGCTTAAACTTATGCAATGCAAAACAAAAGAGAGCGGGGACCTTTTGTCTGCAGCTTTCTGCTGTTGTCTTATGAAAAGAGCAGGGCTCAGGCGTAACTTGTTAACAGGAAGTGGTTTCCCACTATCCTTAGGGGAGCATTCAAACGCTCGAGGGCTTGAGAGGGCCACAATCTTTCGCATTAATACGACACAGGCAAATGTTTTCCATCAAAACCTTCTGCTCTTCAACAAATAAATGTCTTGTACGAGTTATATTTGTCAGCGTTCATTCAGATTTTTACAAGCTGTAGCTGGAAACGGGACAACGGGCCAGAAAAAACATTACATACATAAGATAACAGCTGATTTTGTCCTGATGTTTTCCAGGCTACAGTAATTATCAAACTGATTTTCCATACTTTCCTGATCTACACAGGAACCCTGTAATTAGAGGTGTTTACTTTGCACACAGCCTCTTCAAGACATCGCACAAGCCCCCCTCCTCGCCACTTCCTCAGCCTACAGACAAAGAAACTCAAAGCCAATGAGGGGTAAAGGGATGAAGCCCATGTAAATTAGACTTGGCGGTCTTCATTCAGTCACATGAAAGGCTCCTGTTTGTAACGAGGACTGCCGCGCTCGTCAAAAAGAAAAAAACATACATATTCAGTATTTAATCATAAGTGAAAACCACCGCTAACCCCTCCACCCTCCAAAAATTAAGCTATTTGAATAAAACTGCACAGCAGGACGYGTGGATAATTATGTACGGGCTGCTAACCAGTAATAATGTGGTCGGGCTAAATGTAAAACCCATACACGCATCTTAAACGTCTTGAATCTGAAAATATTGACGCAGCGGTAGTGTAGCAGTCTCTGGTATTCAACAACCACATGAAGAGAAACTAATGCTTATTTCTGGCGATCCAAAGTGGGATTATTTTACACGGGATCAGTGGTGGGAGTAACATTTGGTGCTTAAACAGGCATTATGACCAAATAAYGACAGTATCAGATATATAATCAGGAAAACTTTTAACCAACTTCAAGTCATAAAGCACATTGAGCGAAACACAATCAGATAATTATTATTTCATTACTTCAGACAGGTTATTGAAATATTCCTCCTGATTAACCCATTTGATTCACTTTTTAAAAGGTTTTCTGTTACTAAATGCTCCTTCAGTGCATTTATAGAACAATGATTCTACGTCAAATAATTACTTTCAGCGGTTCGTGGGATATTTTGCTAGCAAACAAACACAGGTCACCTTTCTCTCTTTAATAACAATAAATACTAAAACAAATCCCTTACAGCTACTTTAGGTGCTCTGAATGGTTCGTACCTGTGTGGATTTGTCTTTCATACAGGAGGGGTAGGGTCCATGGGAGTCTCGAGGCCACTGGCCCGTCAGGTAGGGTCCTGTGATGGCGTCCAACGAAGACGCCCTTCGGATGGCACTAGAACTTCTCACTTGCAGCTTGGACCTTTCTGCTGTGAATGACAACGTTTGAAAGAAGTTTGTGTTTCTGTGTTGCAGAACTTTTGAAATGTTGTATTTTCAAAAACTGGAGTCCATGTTTAAAAAAGGCCCAACTTTCATAAAGTGATAAAGACGCAACCTTGAACAAAAACAAATGAATAATTAGTCCATGTCAAAATAAAAAGAGACTTCTTTCTGGCTTTACAAAACAACAAAATAAGAGTTCATACTAAGGTCACCGCCTGTGCTAACACTACAATTACACACGTGTTTGACCTTGATCTCTAWACTACAAAGAGTTCCTCTGACATCAGAGGTGGAAACAGAAAGCTGAGGAGCTCAGGCTTAAAGCAAATGTAAACGGATGAGCAGGAGTATCTGATGTTGTGAGAGCAATCTGCTATGACCTCGAGCAGTGAAGCACACACCACCCACATCACTGCGCCAACCACCGCAACGCAACACAACACTGCCTGCATCCACACAGCATTCCTGCTGAGGCACGCAGTGTGGAGAGCAAACTGAAGACGACAACATCCGACCTGACAAATTCATGTCAGAGAGCGTGGAGTTACCTCATGAACTCAAACAGACAGGAACAGAATCACTAAAAACAAGACTCAGGTGGGAGGTAGGCTGTGCCTTCAGCTCCGTCAGGAGGTGGGTGGGAGGTAGGCTGNGTCAGGAGGTGGGTGGGAGGTAGGCTGTGCCTTCAGCTCCGTCAGGAGGTGGGTGGGAGGTAGGCTGAGCCTTCAGCTCCGTCAGGAGGTGGGTGCGATGATAATTTACAACTTTTCAGAATTTTGATTTTATAAAATGCATCCCCACAAAAACACAGGGACCTCTGCAGTTCTTTCAGATACATTTTTATTAAATCTCCAGCTTACCGGTTGAATTATTTATATTATACTTTTCAGGATAGCCTTTTGATGCTTTTAGCTTATTTGGGCTAGCCTTTTAGCTTATTTGGGCTAGCATTTTGATGCTTATTAGGACTAGCCTTTTAGCTTATTTGGGCTAGCCTTTTGATGCTTGTTTGGGCTAGCCTTTTAGCTTATTTGAGCTTATTTGGGCTAGCCTTTTAGCTTATTTGGGCTAGCCTTTTAGCTTATTTGGGCTAGCCTTTTGATGCTTATTTGGGCTAGCCTTTTGATGCTTATTTGGGCTAGCCTTTTGATGCTTATTTGGGCTAGCCTTTTGATGCTTATTCGGGCTAGCCTTTTGATGCTTATTCGGGCTAGCCTTTTAGCTTATTCGGGCTAGCCTTTTAGCTTATTCGGGCTAGCCTTTTAGCTTATTCGGGCTAGCCTTTTGAAGCGTTTACCTTTGGACTATCCTTGTACTAATTTTAGCTTTGAACAAAACTTTTGATGCTTTTAGCTTTGGGCTAGCCATTTGACACTTTTAGCTTATGTCTAGCCTTTTGATACTTTAAACTTTGGGCTATACTTGCGCTAATTTAGCTTTTAACTAGCGTTTTAGATACTTTTAACAACTGGCTAGACTTTCGATGCTTTTAGCTTATGTCTAACTTTTTGATACCTTTTGCTTTGGGCTATCCTTGTGCTAAATTTAGCTTTAAACTAGCATTTTGATGCTTTTAGCTTCTGTCTAGTCTTGAGAATTTCAGCTATCACTCTGCAAGTTTAGCCATGTGTTTGCTACTTTAGCTTTTCTATTGCATCTTTTAGCTGTAATTCTGTAAAGTTAGAAGTCTGCTTTTAGATAGCATTTTGCAACTTCAACTAATCCTTTGCTACATTCAGCAAGAATTTTGATGTTATTAGCTTTGAGCTAATCTTTTAAATCTTATAGGTGATTTGTATTTTAACTATATTTTTATTAAGTTAGCTAACATGTTGCTATTTTTAGCATTCCTCTTGTTACTTTTAGGATTTAGTTAGCATTTTGATGCATTTTACTAGCATTTTAATTAGCTTATGGTTACCCTTCCTAAATTTAGCTAGTCTTTTACTACTTTTAGCATGTATCTATCTTTTTGTAGTTTTTAATTTCTAACTGGCCTTTTAGCTTTTGTGTTTCTTTTAGCTTTTTGCAACTTTTGGCCTTTAGTTAACCCTTTGCTTCTTTTAGCATTCAGCCTTTTCTTAGCTTTAATMCCGTTTCAACCTGTTCTGCAGATTTCTGCACTCATTCAGTTCTCAGCATTCAGTCTGCATTTGTASAGAAAAAGTAATTTCTTTAGTTTTCTCTGCTAGTCTGCACAGGCTGAGACATTTCAAACCCAAAACACACACAGACTAAACCATCTCTCTACAAGAGGCTCCGTCTCCCTCGTGGAACTGCACAGCCTCATTGTTGTTCTTTGTGCACAGAACACACAAGCCTCGCCACCCAAAGGTATTGCCTAAGTAAGCTCACTGGTCTACAGTAAAATTCCCTGAAGCATTGTCAACATGGGAAGCAGACTACATTTCTATCAATATTGATACAGGCCGAGCCGGTGCCCCTGCAACAGGGACTGTGGTTATTTTCCATTGACCCCACATTTGCCAGACTTGAATAATCTCCTTATGAGAAAAAAGGAAAAAATGTGAAAGACATCAAAGCAGTGCATCTGCTGATTTCAGCGGTAAGAACACGGCGTTATGACTTTAAAGGAATACTTTTCTTTTCAGGCTGAATTTTAACATGAACTTTCCTCTCACAAGACATTCAGCAGGCAGTAAAAAAAAAAGGTCTCCACATTTCCAGGGTTTTAAATGGGTGGTTTATTAACTGTAGGGCAGRGGCAAATATAAAAACAAACATGTGGTCCAGATAGGTAAACCGAAGCATGACTGCTTCCTGTAGGGTTGCACAAGACTTCGCCACAATGTTGGAAAACAAAAATTCCCAGCTTTTTTACTTGACCTCAGAACAAATCTCACTGCACTTCCAGCATTGCAGAAACTTTCCAATAAATCTACTTAAGACTGAAGTCACACCGAGGACACTTTGTGTTGTTTTAAACCAGAAATAAATTTGACTAAAGTGGAACTGATACCACTACTAAAACATTTGTTGATATTGTGTTATTTTTGTTTGGTTTTTGTAAAATAGAAGATAYAGAACTGCAGACCAAGAGGTAGTAAATAGTTGAGTAGATATTTGAACACAAAAACTAAAGGATTTTAAGTTGGTAAAGTCTGCGTAATTTAAATTAGAACAATGTTTTTCCATTAAGGCTGCACCCGTTGCTCAAGACATGATCTGAATCAGCAGATTTTCATCTTGACCGGTTTGACTGGTGTCTGGTAAATCAGGCACTTAAAAATCTGCTTTTGTGGTTTGTTTAGTGTTTTTTTTTCCTCCCTGGTCAGTGATCACACCACTACTAGCATAACATTTTTCTGTAAGAAGGTTTTTACTTCATGAGTAACACATTAAAGTTGGGTTTAATTCAAAACATTAAACATGTTAAGGAATTAATTAAACTACTCTGATAAATTATGTTACAAAATTGCATCTAACTGCAATATGTGTTGTTTAGCAATGCATCAACCACCCAGCTAGCTAAATATTTTTCCTTTAAAGAGGATCCACAATTAGTTGTAACATTAAACTTTATTTGATAAACATTTATTTTAACTGTAAAATAAAGACTGTAAAAATAC